TCCCCTCCAGCCGGGACGCATCCTGCTTCCCCTCGATCCTCCTCAGATGGGCTGATGTAAGAGAGGCTTACAGGCAGGGCTGTGATCTGACATGGCCGTGAGTGTATTACCTGCGAGAGTCTGAAAGCTGTCGTGATCTGCATGCATGACTGACGGGAGCGGGAAGCCCTCAGTACCTGGGTAGGACCTGGGGGCTGGGGCGGCCTGGCAGGGCTCCACGTGACCCAGTGGAGGAGTACCGTGATGAGAGCTGTGATTAGCTGCTGGCGGCCCAGTCTGATTTATGATCCTCTGAGTTTGTCTGAAGCTCAGATAACCTCTGCTGCTCCCTGTGACTGTGGGCTTCCGCATCTGACTTCCATGCCGCCCCCCCTTCTCTCCCCCCTCAGCCTGACAGTGGCCGCGGCCCGCTCCTCCTGGTGGGATACGAGGCTGGCACCCTGGCCCTGTGGGATGTCGCCCAGAGGCAGCCCCTCAGCACCCTGGTCGCCCACTCGGAGCCCCTCCTCTGCCTCGACTTCGACCCGGAGCGCCTCAGGGGCGCCTCGGGGTCTGCGGAGAGAGCCGTCTGCTCCTGGACGCTTGACGGACAGCAGAACCTCCAGGTCAGGAAGGGGATCCCCCCCCAGCCCCTACCCCAAACTCACCCTGCTGGCTCTGCTCTGGTGCCCTGATAGGCAGGGAAAATATTTGGTCACGGAGAGAGTCTCTGGCGGGGTCCAGAGTCATTAATCAGTCGCTGGTTGCCTGGCCGGTGTCTCACTCCCGGCTCCGTCCTGCTCTCCCTCCGTGTCTCGCCTCTTGGCATTAAGCTGAGCTCACCTCTCTCCGAAAACGCCGGTCGCTGCAGCCGGGCATCTGAATCCGGACGTCTTATTGGCTGTGGCGTTACTGCTGGTTTGGTGGCCAGAAGGAGCCGCCCCGACGTTTGAAACGGGGGCTCCGTTTTTTTCCAGTGCTTTTCACAGATGAACGGATGAATTAAGCAGAATGTCTCAGGGTCTTTTGCAGAACACGTGTCCAGTAAATCCTGGAAATGTCCGGGAAAGCGTCTCTCTCGCTTTGCTCCACCAGCAAGGATGTGCATCTAATAAACGTTTGTGGTAGGACGTAGAGGGGGGGCCGCTGAGCTAGGGATCCCACTGGGACTCCTAAATCACGTTCAGGCGCAGCGCAGTATGACATCCAGACAGAGGGAATGACATCTCCAGTCATTCCCACAAAAGTATTTTTGTCCAGTGCTGGTGCGTATGGGCCTCTTGGCCGCCCGGTGCTGATGAACGACCCGCGAGAGGCGGTAAAAATATCAGGACCTTAGCGGCTGTTAACCAAACAAAAAACACATCTGCGGCAGGAGGAACAGTAGTTCGCAGTGGGAGGCCTGGCCAGGAGGGGGAGCGGCGCAGGTCTCGACCTGTCGATTGCTTGAACCCCCCCCCACGGTTCCTCTCGACCCTGGACTGCCCAGGACAGCGGGGGGCCAAGTGCTGGCAATTTATGGCGGAGGGAAACTTCGTTTGACAGAACGCAGTGGGAGACGGGCCTCAGGCTCGCGCGGTGCTGAGCGGCTGGGAAACACACCTATCAGCGACTCGGCGTCGGCCGGAGATAAGCGTGGCACACTGAGCAGTGCGCTAATCTGCCAGTGCATTGCTGACGCTTGTCAGTGTGCCCGTGTGTGTGTGTGTGTGTGTGTGTGTGTGTGTGTGTGTGTGTGAGAGAGAGAGAGAGAGAGAGAGAGAGAGAGAGCAGTGCAAATCAGGCGTGGCTTCCTCAGAGCCCTGTTTAAGATATGATGACAGCTTCCACAGGTCGCAGGCATTCCTGCTCACCTAGAGAAAAATGTATAGACCTTTGCTATATCTGCATTATGCCTTCTGCACAGTACAGGGTAGCAAATAGGCTCCTTCTAGTTATGCTAAGTGGTTAGCATCACATTGGCTTTGCATTCTGAAGAGGTTAGCTTGAGGTTAGCATCACATTAGCTTTCCCATCGAAAGAGATTGGGACTGCCGTCTAAAGAGGTTATTATTGTACCTAAGTGTTAACATACATTGTCTATAGATGTACTTCTATTCCAACTTCCAACTGCTTATCCTCATCATGGTTATCTGGAATCTATTCTAATCAGCAGAGGGCGCTAGGCTGGGGTATGCCCAGGATAGGATGCCAGTTCATTGCAGGGCACACACACACACAGTCCTACACTATGGGCAATTTAGAGGTGCCAGTTAGTCCAGCTGTGTGTCTTTGGACAGCAGGAGTAAATGGAAACCCTTGTAATATGAGGAGAACGCGCAAACTCCACAATACAGAACAGAGGCGAGATTCAAACGCCCAACTCTGGAGATCTGAGGCATCTGTGAGTGCTGTCCTCACTGTTTTACTCCCGCCATCCCCAGAACTCCTCCTCACCTTCTGCAGGGATTTCCCAGGTCGTACCCGAAGCCTGTGTTCACGGCTTCGATGTTCATGAGCTGGAGTGATCACCAATGTTTGACTGCTACAATCAGACGAGCCGGCAGAGAACATTCAGGCCCAAAAAAACCCCTAATGTGCAGAGCAATCCTCCTTTTGAATAGGGTATTATGAGTGAGGGGGGGCTGCTTCTGTGTCCCCGTCTAGGTATGAATAGGCATTATTATGTGGATATTTTACACACTGGCTGAGGTTACCTCTGTGCTGACCTTGTTAAACGTGAAGGAGCACCTCCTGGAGCAGACCGGCCTGCTGTGTTTGGCTTCGCATTTAAAGGGTTTACGAGCGTCTCTTGTCACTGTCATCCTCACCGAGAGAAAAGGTTTTGGGGTCAGCAGGGGGCGATCTTTCTTGGGGGCGTGGTCACACCCCTTGATGTGTAGGATTGGCCCCCTAGACAACAGGAACAAAACAAGACGGAGTGAGGAAAATAAATGTATGTCAGCCCAGTTATTGCTTTGTTAAGGAGCAACATCTCTCTGCGGGGATAGTACTGTTCTAAACATGCTACAGAATCAGGTAGTCATCTTTCCTTTTTACTAAATGCCATTAACCTGGGTACTCCTGCCATCTTGACCCGGTTTATCCCAGCAATAGTCCGGATGGCGGTGGAGTCACTAGGAATATTGGGCTCTCTGTGTTACTGGATGACCTTTGCGTTTTGTGCCCATTCCCATGGCCTGCTCACGTTTAGTTGTCTCTTCCATGCACAGGGTTCGATTTCTTGTCCACTCGTCGGCAGGAGTAAAGCATCAGTCTTCCTTGCAGATCTTTCTGATTCTGGAATTAAGTTTCATGGACATTCAGACTGGTGGTTTTAGTTCAACTGTAGAGCTTGAATTCACAGATGAACACAGAACATCAGAATTCATACCCCATGCTCGTCATGTCCCTTAAGCATGTAGAACACTCTTGGAAATTCTTAACGAACCATCAGTTTCAGCTTATTTGGGAATCATAGCCTGTTAGGAAGATTAATTCGCTTTTCTGGCATTCTGGAAATCACGGGCGCCTCGCAGAATCATTCCCAGTGCGTGTGAATCAGCCTCTTCTCCTGTTGACCATGTCTTTCAGTGCTTTGAGCTGTTCATCTGGGCCGCTTATAGTAACACGGTTCTGCAAATAAAGATTTGAGCCAAACGGCCCTCACATAGCAACAAAGGCCAGTTAAAAAAAAATTAAAGATCAGCACTCCAAACCAAACAGCAGCTCAAAAAAGTTAATAACAGACCTCATAGCTGAATGTTTTTGGGCTGATGATTGAGGGCCTGAGGTTCTCCTGCCAGGTTAAACATTTATATCGCCTTCCATTTGAGTCTCCATCATCAGGTCAGATGACGGGTTCAAGGTGACTGAAAGGCGTGACTCCTCCGTGTTTTTAATAAGGTGGGTTTTGACGGACCAGAACGGTTAGATAAGCAGATACGCTTATTGATCGTAATGTTTTTTGGTGTGACTGTATGACGAGCTTCCCTCCTCCTGTTATCACTGCAGAGTGTAAAGTTACCACATAAGTCAGTAAGAACTCCGCAGGTACCAAATTCTGAGCAGCTTAGCTGTTGTGAGTTGGACAGCAGAACTAGTGCTGAAGCCGGACATGACCTGAGACCTTCTGGTGACAAAGTCCTCTGAGGTTGTGCCATGCCTTATAAATCTGAGCGCATTGCGAATGGCTCCACTTACATGTGTCTGTCTAAGCTTTTTGTTTCCAAGGCTTGGGTTTACTATTGATTCAGTGGTACCTACTCCTCGTCTACTTTAAGTTTATCTGAGCACGTATGATGGCTCTCAACTCTAGTCTAAAGCACTTTCTGTAGACTGATAATCATCTCGGCACTTACAGAAAAGCCTAAATGAGATTAATCAGAGTTAGATGAACACAGTTCATACATGCTTGGATAAACTTAAAATAGACCAGGTTTAGGAACCACTGCACTCAGACCAGAGGAATCATGAGTAGACTAAGCCTAGGGATAAAAGGTTTGACTAACAGACCAGGTTGGGAAACACTACTTTATAGCTGTAGGGTAACCTGTGTGAGTTTAAGGCACCTTCTGCTTCCCTTAGATGGCTGTCTCCGTGGAGCTGGTCAACCCAGGCATCTCCCAGCTGAGCCTACGGGCCGACCGCAAGCTGTTGGCATCTGCCGGCTGGGACCACCGCGTCCGCCTCTTTGGATGGAAGAAGTTGAAGCCCCTAGCAGTGCTCCAGTACCACACAGACTCGGTGCTCTCTGTGGCCTTCTCCGACCATGCGGACCCTCGCCTGAGGCTCATGGCGGCTGGATCCAAGGACCAGAGGATCAGCATTTGGTCTGTGTACAACGAAGGATGAGGAGGGTCATCAATATGTCTTATGGACCTGGAGTCTGTGTCCCTCTTCATGACCACACTACCTTCTCTACAGCCTAAAGCAGAGAGACCTACCTGTGCTGGTAGCAAAAAAGCCGTCCTCAATCATCTGACACCCTCAAGGTCTATTATGAACTCAGTAAGGCTTTTTGCCTCAAAGTATACATTTTTTGTGTTTTGTTGCTCTTCTCGCTAAGCCCTATGCCGCAGGTGGACGGTGAGGTCTAACACGCCGTGTCCTCGTCTAGTATTGTATTGGGCTCCTCCCTTCAAATTTGTGGGTTGATGAGGTCGCTCCGGATCGCGCCGGGCCAGGATGGAACACGCCGGAGCCCGAGGTCTTTCCGCAAATCAAACGTACAGCGCAGGTGTCCGTTAGGTTTCAGGCGCCGCTCGCAGTTCTTCGCGCTAGATACAGCGCTGGAGGAATTTCAGTCTCGCCTTTATGTCACATGTCACAGTGGGATCTTGTTTGTCTCTCCAGTATACTTGAATTTTAAGCATTTTTTGACAGCCTTGAACAATTGTCTCATTCACACAGTATTTAACTGTGTATACAATTAGATATTTCTCAGTTTATACATATATATTTACTACTTCAGAGTTTGCCGTTGCCCTCTGTTGACTTTCTTGACCCAAACCACATTAATCAGCTTCAACTAATAACACACACTGAGACACCAGAGATTGATTTGAAACCATGCCCCCCCCCCCCCGAGAGGTGGTGGAATTTGCATTCTGAGTCAAGTCTCCTTGTGGGTTTCATATAACGGAACAAAGCAAACATCGTGTGAGTGAGTTTGCTGTTGTTGGGCTGACGTGTATTTCACCCTGTCGTTAAGTGGTTGCCTGGTGTCCTGTTTTTTGATTGGTAGGTCTTTTTTTTCCCCGATTGCATGCACTCACACGAGTGTGGTGGGATATTTAACATCTGTTTTCCGTCCATCCATGTGCTGTGCTTGTTTGGAAAGCATTCCTTAAGTTTGGGAAAAGAGACATCCACAAACCTACTGGACCACAGGATAACTAACATGAGAGTTGGATCATTTTTTGCATTATGCTCCAACTTGAAATGTGATTCCGGCCTTGCGCCATTGCGGCACGATGTACGGCATGACCCCGGATCGCTCAGGTAATCTGGGTTTGCTGGGCCCATGTGCTCCCCCGTCTTCACATTTGATTGGCTCTCTCAGAGCAGGAAGCTGGAGGTGCTTCTAATAGATGAGATTTTCTCAGGAGCTGCTCCCCCCAGCCTGATAAAGCCAAACTTTGCCCTACGCCATGTGACTCCATAGGGGATCGAACACACATCCAGCAGGCCAACATGCACAGATGTGATGACCCTGCACTGCATGCATGAGCTCGATGTTTAATAGGTATGACGTGTCCTGACCAGGTCAGTCTGCAGCACGCACTGACCGTGTCTAACTGGGGGCCGTATTTCGCTAGATCGGTTAATTTAAATTGTGTCTAACCACGCATATTGGTTTGAGGGGCTTGCCTTGATTTTTCAGCTGCGCTGACGGTAAACCCTTTTAGACAGCTGCTATGTGTCCGGGCAGGACTGTCTTAATGAAATGCACTTCCTTTATTTAATTCACTGTGCAACTCAAACAAACCCGTGTGAATTAATATGAGCTTTGATTCATATGAATGATGATTTAAAGTCAGTTTATCTTTTCAAGGGAAATGGAGTGATCATTCATTAATACAACAAATGCTCCTTTAAGTAGTAAAAATATGTTTTTAGTGACAGAAGCTGGTGTAACGCGGGTTGGAAAACGGTGGCCTGGGTTAGCGCCCCCCATATAACACCCCACATCATGTGATTCATTCAGCCATGGGTGCATTCAAAACCCAATGGATGGTTTTACAGGCTTTTAGCTGGAAGGAGGCCAGCCTCAGCCTGAGGGACGCTGGTGGAACAGGTGACATGCAGCTGAACGTACTGCACCACACGGCCTCCGAGTCCGTCCCTCCGTGTGCCCGGGCGGTGAGGTGGCACTTCTGGTAATCTGGCGTCTAGCCCGGTTGATGCACTTCAGAAGCAATGGGAGCGTTCCGTTGTACCATGATGGGGTCGGAGCCCTTTCTGGAGGGATGCGGACTAGACTTCAAACGGCACGCAGACACTATAAAGCCCCGGTCCTGTGGGACAGAGTAGGACCTAATAACCCATCATACTTTAAAGGCAGGAGAGAGATCCGAGGCCCCTTCACAGACACCGGGGACAGACCGAGGCGATCTTACAACCTGTGGGCCTCCCTTTCCTCGTCCGTGATCTCTGCGCCCGACCTCAGGAGTCTGCGACCGGCTCCCCCCTCCCTGTGCACTTTGAAGCTGTAACAAAGGGCCGCTCGGGGCAGCTTCCGTCCATTCTCCGAGCGGCCAGACGCGCATGGAGCACCGCAGATGTGCGTGGGGCTCAGGAGGTCTCCTCATAAATCACTTCATAATGGATCCTTTAGGAAGTCCATAAAACGAAGATACTCAGGAGGGGGGTGGTAATAATGCGAGGCAGGAGCGTCCAGCTGAGGCTTGGAGGTCAAGAGCTTTCATCCATGACACTCACTGGACACGCTATTGCCAGGCATTGTGTATGCTGTGTATATATGTCATAATACAGGAGCTGTGAATGACCAGGTCATGCCTGAGTATTATTAAACCTGTATGCTTCAGTCAATAACACTGGATTTTAATTTAGCATTAACAACGGACTGTCAGTTTGCATCACAATGCCTAGCATTTGCAGAGAATGCTTGAGGTCGGACAGGTATGCGGTGTGGTTTGAGTGGTACCCCCCCCCCCCCCCACCCGCGTGCGTTTTGGCGTTAATGGTCCAGCTGGATCTGACTCACTTGTTCTCAGCGGCAGCCCACAGACATGTCAGACCCGAGACGGACGATGTAAGAAATGTGCGCGGAGGCAAAGCGAACGGAGCGCTTTCTGATAGGCCTGTCACAACAGCTGCTCCAGATGTTGCTGAGTGCCAAGTGATGACTGGGGGATCATTATGTCAGCTTCATTGCCCCCCCACCCCACCCCACCCCCGCATGTCTCTGCTAAAATTTGGCAGAGTGTCATTTTGGGGACGGCATACATGTACCTAAAGGAGATGGAATTCGGTGAGCACCAGTAAATAGTAAATTACTCCGAGGTGTATCCTCTCACCAGAAATCTTAAGCATGTACAAAATATACATTCACTGCTTATCAAAACATGAACTGGCAAGTTTGAATGATGAAGGTTTCTGGTTTAGATTTATAGAAGGAATAACATAAAATGTTAATCATAGAAAAATTAATACGGTAACCCGAAAATGGGAAGAGAAATTTTTATAATTAAAATTTGTCACGGCTCCCTTAAACACGCCTGACTTCCCCAAACAGGTTTTTCATTTTTCTCTGTAAAAGACTCGCGTCTCCCACACTTGTGTGAATCCATGTAAAATTTGTTACATAATTTGGCTTGTTTTTATGTAATGGTTCATTTTTTCATCTTAGGTACTAAAAGCATAATTTTATCTTTTGCACTGAGTCAATACATTTCAATGGTGTTAGGCCCTACATTTAGTCAGCTTTTTTTGTAATAATTTTGTATCTTATTGACTGAATGTTTTCGATACTTAAATCGATATAAAGTAGGGGCTGGAAAAAACTAAGCACAAAGCATTATTCATATAAAAAACATTCTTGTAGGCTATTATAAATATTAAAATTTCATTTTTATAATGTAGGTCGGTAGACGGATCTAGCTGTCACCTGCAGTGTCGCCTGGGACCGAGGGAACCATCGTCACGTTTAAAAGATCTGAACCTGGAAATCACTTCTCACGCATAGATGATCCCTCTGAGGCCATCATCGCCTGCCCATACAGTGACGGCCGTGGACCCCGTCCTCACCTGCTGGCCTCACATCAGAGATAAACACAGCTGGGCCGGCCGAACGGAAGAGCCCCGACTCCCCGCGTCCGCGTCTTCCTGACGGACGGATACTCAGTCCTTCCCGGCGGCTGTCGGCTCACGCAAAGGGACCCTCAATTCACCATGAGCCACACAGGAACCTAGACAGCCAGACTTAGGAAACGTGTGCTGTCCTTCTAGCGGAAAGATTTCTGCCGAGAGCTTTTTTTTTATTGTTTCGCGAATTCGTACAATTTAGGCTATATAAACATCTGGCACGATGCCTGAAATTTGTTTAGCGATGTTAGAAAAGGAGAAGTCTGAAAAGGCAACATATCAACCATTGAACAAATATATTGGTAACATTTAGGTTATAGTATCCAACATTATGCTTGAGACAGCTGAAATATGATGTTTGTTACTTTCCAATAGATGAATCAACAAGAATTTTTTTTAAAATGTTTACTTTTATGATGGTCATCATTTCTTTCCTACAAACATGAATTTTAAGTTCAATTTAACATTAAAATTTCCGCCAGTGTAAATTTAAACACGTATAAAGTCGTGCTTAATATTGGCCAGAAAATGAAGCTGTATGAATCGTTCGTCGATCTATGTTTTTCTTTTTAGTCCTAATAGTTTTTCACTGCATTATTTTTGAAATATTTATCGAAATTAATTGGTGATTAAAATTAGCGCGTTTTTATATTACATATTTTTAAAATAACAGTAATCTGTGATTCCGATGTGTTGTGTTTAGTGACTGTCAACATTAGGTATAAATCCACAAAATTGCATTCAGTCTTTTTTAACTTAAATGAGCTGTTCACTAGAAGCGAAACGGTTACCGATACATATTCACGAACCCTACAATTTAGCTGTAAGTATTTGCCCCCTGAATAGAAATTATATAGGATCAGCCGATGTCACCTTATCTGCTGGAAACGTTGTTTAACCTTTAACCCATCAGAAAGCCATTAGCTGTTAGGGGTCAGGCTGTGCGTGTCCGTCCCGCTCTCTTCCACTCAACCCCCCCGTCAGCATTTCCCTCGGGGGAAAAGTTAAATAAAAACATTAAAATAAATCATCATGCATTTCCTAATTTTTATGACTGGTCACCTTACCGGGATAATATCCGTTGGAAAATAATAACGCCGCGACCTGTCCTTTGTTCAGAGCGCCGGTACGTAAATGGTACTTTTGGCTTCCAGCATTTGACGTCGGAATCCTGCTTCTAAATATAATTTATGACTTCGCGGCTTTTTCTGCATTTATAAAAATGTAGTTTTGGGCAATACTGCGTATTGTTTTTATCAGACAGCTGTCGTTTTCAAAATGCCAGTAACGATTTAGAATACACTAGCTATTTATATTTATATTAGTACCTGAACATACTCCATGTATATATATTTATATATTAACCACCTCATCTCTCGAAGTCTGGCACCAACCACCAAAGCAAATTCCTTGTATGTGTGAACGTACTTGGCAATAAACTCGATTCTGATTCTGATTCTGAAAATGGTAGACCTACGTGTTAATTATTTCTACGCGATGTAAATTGTTCTTACTGTATAATATATGTGATGAACGGTTACACAGAACCAAGTATTAATCTATACAAATAACAACGCGCTGTTGTCAAAATAATTGCTAATTTATATTCAGCCAAATCTATTCATAACTGTAAACAGCAACTGATCAATAAATACAGCAATTTAACTTATACAGCTATTGTTTCATTCATGTTCAAAACTTAATACTGTACAAAATGTTGACATATGCAACCTAATGCGACAGCAATCACATCAGTGTTAATCACGAATGATTATATTGTATTTGCGCAACACTAGTTTCAGAGCATTAAAATGTCTGTTTGTTCGACAGATCGGCAGCGCTAAGCTTGCAGTCTTGTGTTTGTGTGCACAGTAAGTCATGTTACTTATCACCCGTTACATGGTAAGGTCATCTGGTCCTGAACTGACTCAAAATGTTCACTTAAAAGAAATGGATACTCCGTAAATCTCATCACACCCTGCTTTCCTGAATTTTTAAAGGACTTTAAAACAAGGTGACTCGAGAACCTAATGTGATGTATATACGTACAATAATTATCAGCATTTTGTTAGATAAAATCGTAAGTCATTGCCACATTTATCGCGGGCGTTCGACATCGTTTACGTGGTAGTGCTGAAAATTAAAAATGGTACATTTCTCTCTCTCTCTCTCTATCACACACACACGCGCGTCTGAATGCTTAGGGTGATGTGATTTCGTTTGTGCATTTAATTACCTCTAGAGGTGACTCTGATTCCCGCTACATGTGACACGATGATTATGCCTAGCAATCTGTGCGGATGTGCCAGTGTTGATAATATGAGATGTTTTCATCATCATATATGTCTGAGTGAAAAAGGGACCAAATGAATGCATCGAATGGGAAAATTTAAAGGAAAGAATTTAATATTCACTTTACAATTACAGCACAAGCATGGGATCTCTCCTTTATTTACCAAACTTCTAAGAATCACTTTGAGTCAGTGCCATGGTGCAGGTATCTATCAGAGCTTCCCAGAATGTTCCATGCTGCAGGTATTTATGAGAGCTCTCCAGGACATTCCATGGTACAGGTATCTATGAGAGCTCTCCAGGACGTTCCATGCTGCAGGTATCTATGAGAGCTCTCCAGGACATTCCATGGTACAGGTATCTATGAGAGCTCTCTATAGAACGTTCCATGCTGCAGGTATCTATGAGAGCTCTCCAGGACGTTCCATGGTACAGGTATCTATGAGAGCTCTCCGGGATTTTCCACACTGCAGGTATCTATGAGAGCTCTCCAGAACCTTCCATGGTTTCAGGTACCTGTTGGAGCTTTCCAGGTCATTCCACAGGCTCCGAGCAGAGCTGCCCAGGCCATTGCATGATCACGGGTGGAGACACCTGCATCGTCCCTCGGTGAGCTGAGCATGCAGATATCTCGCCTACCTAAGAAGCTTCTCGGGTTCAAGATTATACAATGTATGGCTTTGTTTCTCCAAGCGAAAACAAAAAAGTGCATCCAACCAGAGGTCAAAATCCAGTCCGTGGTGAGGCGTTTCACACATCGATAAGACCATCCTTCATGCTCTTAGGGAGGCAGCCTCACTGTGAGAGCCACACGAGATGGACGGGCAGAGAGGCCGCACTGTGCCGGCGGTGCTTCGGCGAGGCCTCAGAGGAGCTCCTTAGTCCTGATCTTGCTCCTCCACAATTGATTTTGCATTAACCAGACATGCAGAGCAACGCCCACTTTTGGCTGTCTTCGGCGTGCCATGCATGCTTGAGTCAGTACGCACCAACAGGCCGAGAGCCGAAGCCATGCATTATCTGGGCCCATAGTCATAGTTTGCCGGGCCGCTGGTAGCTGAGTACATGTTGGAAGCAGTGGGGTTCATGTGCTGGTAGCCGTGCCCTCTGATGCTGGGCAGCGGATACGGGGACGGCCGGGTCTTGGCTCCCAGGTAGTGTTCGTAGGTGGCCGGGTACTTGTAGGGGTGGTGGTGCAGCGTGTCGGGCGGCTGGGCATGGCCGTCCAACCGCAGCTCGTGTGGGGGGCTTGGGCGGCTGGCGCTGAGCGGGACGGCATGCAACCCCCCCGGCAGGGGCAGCGCAGGGCTGAGCACCCGAGACATGATCTGGTGGGCTGGGTCAGCGTGGATAGGGGTTCCGCTGGGGTCCCGGTCATAGTCCCTCCTGCTGTCTTCTGAGCCGCAAAAAAAACACAACACTCATTAC